TTAAAAATACATATGTTATCATCTTTCTCCTTGACCCTCTCCCATTAATGCACCAATACCCAGCCAGGAAAAAACAGTCAGGTTTTTCGGTGGTAAAAACCCTCTGACCTATGATTCTCCCCTGCAATCCAGGCCTCCCTGATGAAGGTGGAACCAGGTCAGAAGGAGCACCAAAGCCCAAATCAAAAGCCCGGAAGCCAAGGATAGAAGGAAGCCAAGGAAGCCCCAAGCCAGGGACAGTGAGATCAACGAGCAGCGACAGGTGAGGAGGGATTGGCGCCCGCAGTGCTGCTCAGGGGGTGGCCCTCTCGCGCACGGCATCGCCAGGAGGCCCTTTCTGCTAGCTGATGATCCACGGGCTGACCGCTCTGGCCAGCCACACAGAGGGTCAGCAGAAGAATGAGGGGTGCCACCCACCCCACTCCCGGGGCAGCGAGGGTCTCGAACACGAGGAAAGGCTGAGCCAAGTCTTAGAATCAAGTGAGCATTAGCCTAGCGGTGAGAGGGGCGACACTCACACTTCCATCAGACAGACTTGTACCCAGTTCCTACTACGTGACAAGGGCCCTGCCCTCATGAACTTGACATTCTAGTGTGGGCTCTACATTTACAAGAAACCTGTAAACAAAGTAAATCATTTCCAGTAGTGACCAGTGCTGTCGGGAAATTTAAATGAAGATAAGTGATGGGGAGTGGGGTGAATAGAAGGTCTACTTTCTGGGACAAGGGTGTCAATAGGCTTCTTTGAGGAAGGGACATTGAGCTAGCTTAGGGTTAGGGTTATGAGCTTTGAATGAATGAGAAGGAGCTGGGGAACAGCCCCTCTAGGAGTGGGAACAGCAGGGGCAAAAGCCCTAAAGCAGGCACAGTGTGGCCTGTCGAGAGAGGGAAGAGTGGATCACAGAGAACAGAGCCACGAGTGTTGTGAGGTCAGGAGTGGCCAGAGGCTGGGCCGGGGGCTTTTCCAGGCTGAATGAGTACCTGTTGAATGAATGAACTCCCTGAATTCGGTCCAGTTGGTTCTGCAACTATCAAGAGAACAGCCTGAGTGCAAGAGAAAACAGGGGTAAGGGTGGGCTGGGGGAAGGCTGGAGAGATCAGCAGGACCAGGGCCTGTAGTCCTGTCGGTAGGAGTGTCAGCCTTAGCCTCAGGCCATGGGGAGCCATGGAACATTTTAAGCAGAGTGTGTGACATTATCCACATTTGCACTTCAGAAATATAAATAATGCCTCACAAACATGTGCTGTGTGTCACCACTGGCTTTTAAAACTTGTAACGATCTATGAAGTATGACTGTCTGATTGTAGAGTGCAACCTCAGGGGTGACCCCAGCACTTACCCTTCTCCACCAGAATGGGTAAGGGTGGAGGGAAGACAGGCTCAGGAGCTAACTGAGCAGGAAAATGCCAGACAGTTTAGCCAAACCCTACCTTGGCCTCTTTCCTCTGTAATCCAGCGGTTCAGTGTTGCTCCCCAAGGTGCCTTTTACAGTGACTTCTGTCTTCCAGGATTACATCCGGCTCCCTGGAAAGTCCTTCCACTTCAGAAGCCAACCCAGAAGGGCGTTACCACTCAGCAGGCCCCGACCAGGACCCTGTGGCTGACAGAGAAGGCAGCCCTGTCTGGGGCAGCAGCCCCTTTCAGCTCACAGTGTCCTCGGATGAAGACATTATTGACTTGAAGTAAATGGAGTCCGAATCCAGTTGGCCATCTTTAATTTTCTTACAGAGGTTTATACTCTTTAACCAGTTCTGACATCATTTCTCAACAAAATGTGGCTTTTAGCCTGTCTGTGATCTATTGGACCAAACCTTCTGCCCACTTGGTCAGTTTGGGTCACCCTCCAACGTCCGGTGCCATCTCTCTAGACCTTTGTTTCTTTCTGTTGAAGAACCATCGTCTCCTTGTAAGAAAGGTGGTAGATTTCATTGAGGTTTTAGATCAAAACTTTGAATAAATCAAAAATGTTCATTCTTATTTACTGCAACCTTCTCTTATATATTTTATATACTTAGATGGAAGTTATTTTTTCATTACCAGTTTGACATATAATATTTCTTTTGTAAAGAAAAGCCATTGCTTCTAAAATTTATAAATTTTCTTTCTGCACCGTTGGCCCAGATGGCTGACTCAGTTCACTGTGATAAGAACCAGCTGCATTCCTGCCTATAGACTTTTGAGAAAAACTGAATGGTCAGCTCTTGGAAGCTCCTGCTTCTTTTTCTTTCTTGTGTTTCACAAAAAATAATAATAAGGCATAGGAGCTGTTAAGAGTCTTAAGATTATTTTGTTTGGTTTCATTATTACTCTGAAATCACATAACCAGAGAACAGTTACTCCTTATCATCAAAATTATCACTCTCAACTCCCCTCTTCTCGTCCCAGTCTGCCGTGCTCTTTCACAGGAACCAACTGACCTTCCTTCCTCTTGACATATATCTGCCTTTCATGGCTCTCTCCTCAAAGTGAGAAAAAAAATGTGGGTTTGACCAAAAGTGCAAATGAAACAGTGAAATGTTGGCCTCTAGCCAGTGGAGACCATGGGGAGAAATCTAGTTTCACTGACACTGTAAAAGTTTTAATCTGTGTAAAGAAGGTAATTTACCTTTGGCTTTAGTCTGACAGATTCCATCTTATTATATCTCTTCTTGCATGTACTACCCATCAAAAGAAACTTTAAATCATTTCCCCTGTTAAAGCGGCTCCGAGTTCTCTATAAGTACAGAGAGTGTGTTTGACATGACCTTCATCTACCAGATTTTACAGAAGTATGGGTCCTACCTCCTGTGGCCCTTGTGGGGAGAGCCTCCCTCTCTGTCTATGGCACAAACAATTCAACATGATGAATGCAAGCTGAAGGCTGCCTGGTTCCCTTCAGCAGGAGACAAGAGTAACACAGACAGTGCTTTTGGGGTAGAGCCTGGTGGGGGGTTTCTTCTCATCACCTTGCACTCAGCCTTCCCATGTGTCCTTTGCATTTTGTTACGCCCTTTTCACATACAGGGGAGACCCAAGAGCAGTTACATACTGAATCTCCAGCTCACCCAGAGTTTTGTGAATTAGGTTGTATTATGCTTGCTTTTCAAGTTAGGAAACTGAGGCTCAGAAAGAGCCAGTTATTTGAACCTGTGAGTTCTCTGACACCAGAGCTGTGCTGTCTCACCTGTCCACCATACAGAGCCAGGCTGAGTGACTTGTGTCAGTTGGATCTGGCTGGTGTTTTTCATGTTAAACTAAATTGTAAGCTTTAGGAGCTTGTGCGTGTGTTTTTCCTGTCATTTTTTTTTCCCTGAAGTTCCTTCTCAGCCTGAAATAAAAAAACCAAGGGCTAGTTGGACTATATTTCCAAAGAGATTGGCAGCATCAGAGCTACCCCATGATTTGACAAGAGTCAAAGATCTGAGGAGTGAATATAGAAAGGGCAAGAGGTGGGTCCTATTAATCAGACTGATGGTGCTTAGCTTATAAAATGGAGGGCAGGAGGCTGCTCTGGCAGCAATACATGCTTTTGAAGGCCAAGAAGTGAACAAAGGAGGGAGATAGCTAGGCAGAGGACGGGCTGGTGCTAGCTGGGCTCACTGGAGCATCCTGTCTATATAGCTCTTCTCCATACCCACTGCCTGAGTTACAAAGTAGACTAACTGAGGCAGTTTGTCCATGGGGCTTGAGGTATTCAGCCACTCTACAAACACCAAGAGCCCACTGTCTGGATGGGGAGGTCACATCCAGTGGGAGAGAAGCGATCCATCACAGAACAGTGATAAGTGCTGTGATAAGAATTTATAACGAGCACAAGATGCTCAGGAGGTTGCCTTATTCTTTAAGATAATACAGTCAGGTGACTGCACTGGGTCAAAGAACTGTGGTAATCATACTGGCTAGTATTTTGAGTGCTTTGCAGGTGCTTAGTCTTTAATATACATTGCCCCTACTCAGAAGTCTCCTGAAAGATAGATATTATCATGCCCCCCTTACAGATGAGGAAACAGGCCCAGAGGGGGATTAGAAGGCAAGCTTCTTACTCTCTTAGTGCGGATTCTTTCCAGAATTATACAACACTCCACCGCAGCTGCCTGTACCTGTACAGAGAGTGTTGGGTACAAATGGGCAGATTCTACAGAGCCCTGACCTCATCATCCTTCCCCCAGCAGTGACTTAGGTGCGCATGTAGCGACTGGCTATTAACTTCCTCAAGCAATTCAAAGTCAGGAGGCATTCAGATGAAGATTCAAGAGTCAATACTGCCTGTGAAACCATAGTAACTTAACAGGGAGAGTGGAGTACACCATCATGGAGGTCCCGGTCGTCGTCGGCTCCGTAGCCTTCAGAAAACTGGGGGCCTCAAGTGGTGACCCGCACGGAGGCGGGTGGCGGAGAGCCAGGCCACGCTCCCGCCCCTAGCGGCCCTGCTGGAGTGCCGGGCCAAGCTCTGCTCCTCAGAGGAGAGACAGCGACTCAGGACAGTCGTTTGGAGACCTTCCGTCCTGCGGCTCTCGGCAGGCAGAGGTGGGCCGGGGGAAGGGGCCAGACACCTCTAATCCACGCCCCACGGCAGCGATTAACGCCCAGTGACGTGCAAACCAGACCAGAGAGCACGGCTGCAGCGATCCTTGGGGGCCGGAAGTCCTGTCCACCGCCCACGTGCTCCGCCTTCGTCCAGCTCCCAGACCCATTGGTTGAAGCTAGATTGAGAGGCGGTTCCAGCCGCAAGTGCAGTCTCCGCCCTCCTCCCTCATTGGCTGACTCGATTTGAGGCCCCTACTGACCCCTTATCTCCGGGATAGCGCAACACTTCTATTGGGTAGTTGTCTCCTCCCACCTATACATCGGGCAGCTCAGTTTGAGGGGCGGTTCCAGTGCGCATCGCCCACAGGCTCTTTGCTTCCATTGGTCTGCTTTGATTCGAAGGGCGGTGCCTAGCGCATACGTCAACCCTGTCTTGCGTTCCCATTGGCTGCTCCCAAACGGCAACGTTCCCATCCCGCCCCAGAACGGCCCCTCGCCACCCATTGGCTGGTTCTGCCGCGAAAGGCGGGTACCCGCCGCACACGCGGGACCCTTGGCAGTTCGGGTGTCGGCGGCTGGAGCAAGCGTTGGCTGTGGGCATGACGCCTGACGACGAGGAGACCCAGCCACTTCTGGGGCCGCCCGGCGGCAGGTGAGCGGTGGGGGCGCAGGCTTGGGGGCGCGGCCTCACCGCCAACGCCCAGGCCGGCCCAGCTCAACGACCGACCTGTTCCCTCAGCGCTCCCAGCGGCCGCCGCGTCTTCCTGGCAGCGTTCGCCGCTGCCCTGGGCCCGCTCAGCTTCGGCTTCGCGCTCGGCTACAGCTCCCCAGCCATCCCGAGCCTACGACGCGACGCGCCCTTGGCCCCGCGCCTCGACGAGGACGCCGCCTCCTGGTTCGGGGTGAGGCCTCGGGGTCACCCTCCTGCCCTCCTGGGACCCCCATCCTCCCACCCTTAAGACGGGCGCCGGGACCCCCCACGCCCACCGCCTCGGACGCGCGATCGGACCCTCCCCTACTTTGCTTCCACTGGGCACTGAGACCCTCCGCCGAATACGTCCCGGTTCCCCTGCGAAGGGTTCATCCTCTTCCCACCGAGGTCCCTGGGGTGAGGTGGAGGGCGAAGTTGGGCCTTGGCCCCCTGTCGCCCCCTCTTTAACCGGTGGTCGCCCCGGTCCTTAGGCTATCGTGACCCTGGGCGCCGCGTCGGGGGGCGTACTGGGCGGCTGGCTAGTGGACCGCGCCGGGCGCAAGCTGAGCCTCCTGCTCTGCACCGTGCCCTTCGTGGTCGGCTTTGCGGTCATCACCGCGGCCCGGGACCTGTGGATGCTTCTCGGGGGCCGCCTCCTCACCGGCCTGGCCTGCGGGATTGCCTCGCTTGTGGCCCCGGTGAGTGTCCCCTAGCCTTCGACCCTGGGACCGAGGAGAAGGAGCAGAACTGGGAGTGTGGTTCTCCCTGGCTGTGGCTTCCTAAGTGCCTGGCACCGTGCCCCTTACCTGCTTACCCTCACAGCAGGCCTTGGAAGGAGCCACAGTTAATTATCCCCATTTTCAGATGAAGTGAGCTTCAGAAACCTGAAGTCCTTTGTCCAGGCACAGCTACTCAGGGTGAAGCTATTACTCCAGCCCAGGATTGGACCACTTAATCGGGCCTCTCTTTTGCTCTACAAATAAGGATGGCCTCTGTGCGTGGTCAACAGAAGCCTGGCAGTACGGCTTAAATCCCCTGTTGTCATTCAGACCACTGCATACAGTTCAGGAAAATCCTGTTCTGGTTTTCCCTGAGGGTGAAGGCTGCTCGGACCTGCTGCTCCCCTTGGCTGCTCACAGAGAGGTCCTCCAGCCGCTTCCCTGCGTCTTTCTGGGGCCCGTGATTCAGCACTGCCCAGACTGACTTTGGAGCTGTCCTCCACCTGAGTGAAATCCCGGCTCTGTCACTTAGTGGGGCACAGCCCCTCTGTGCCTGTCCTCCCCCACGAAATGGGAATAGTGGCATTAGCTCAGGCAGTGGTTGTAAGGATTCAGGGAGACGGCGCCACCTGCAGCCCCGGGCCTGCCATGGCTTGGGGAAGGACTGTGGCCGCTGAGGTGGTTGCGTGACCGGTGAACTGCTGCTGCCTCCGGGCTTGGATAATCAACTGCCCACACCCCAACCTGGTCGAGATTGAAGGCAGAGTCCTGGGTCACCCTTTGTACCTGTCACTCATTTCACCTGCATTTGCTAGGCAGCAGGCCGCAGCTGCACTAGACTTGTTTTGTTTTTTTCTGGACAGAAACACGCCTGTCTTAGTTTTGGCCATAAGATATGGAATAACCTAGAAACATGGCAAGGTCTTTTTGGCCCCTGAGCCGAGAGGAAGAGAGCAATCATAGATGAGGACTGAGGTGAAGAGTTCCTGCCTTCACTCCAGGGGCACCACTCTAAGTGCGGGCCTCAGGCCAGCAACCTGCATGTCACCTGGAGCTAGTTAGAAAGGCAGGATCTTGGGCCCCACCACAGACCTATTGCATCAAAATCTGCATTTTTTCAAGGGGCGTCATACACTTACATGAAAGTTGGAAGAGCTCTGTGTCCCCACCCACACCCTCCCCTACACACACACACATACACACAGCCGTGTGTTTACCCTTAATCCCCTTTAACCACCCGCTGCAGATCACTTGGTGGGGGGCAGGAGGGATGGGGAGGGCTCTGCTGACCTGCAGTTAGAGGCCCACCAGGCCTGCAGCAGTCCCAGTTGAGGCGCTCCTCAGCTCCAAATGACTGAGGCTTTTCCATTTTACTTAGACCCCAAGTAAAATCTCATCTTAATTGCCCACAGGTCTATATCTCTGAAATTGCGTACCCCACAGTGCGGGGCCTGCTCGGCTCCTGTGTGCAGCTGATGGTCGTCATAGGCATCCTCCTAGCCTACCTGGCAGGTAGAGTTTTCACATTATCTCTTGCTCCCTGTTGATGGCCATGAGGTTGCTTTACAGCTATAGAAACTGAAGTTCAGTGGGTCAGGGACTTGCCTGAGGTCACACAGCCAGTGCCAAGGTACCAGGTTCCCAGATACCTCCCTGAGGCCCTAGGATGTGTGGGTCTTGTGACTTAAGTTGCAGGGAGAACTGGAGAAGGCAATATGCTCATCTTGCCGGGGCAGAAGCCCATTCTAGGGGTGTGGGGAGGACAACTGATTAGTCAGTATCTCACTGTGTAGTGACAGAGGATTGCAGGGGTGGGTGGGGCACCCCAAAAATCTTCAGCCCAGGCGCTCAGAGGTGCCAAGTGGTCTCCTTCAGAAATATCAGGACCAGATCTGCAGCATGAAGGAAGAGGGTTCCAGGGAACCCACAGGTCAGACCTGGAGGCCAGCATGAGGAGGCTTCCGGTGGCAGACCTGTTTCACCACAACTGGGGTAGAAAGAGGACAGGCTTCAAATCTGACAGTCGCAGGTTAAGGGACAGCCACTGCCATTTACCAGCTGTGTGACCTTGGCCTAGTCGCACCACCCCAGGAGCTTCGCTTCCCTTGTCTTTAAGTGGAGAAAACTCCACCTAGTCCAAGGCTGTTGAGGGATCAAATCAAGTGACACATGAAAAATGCCTGGCTGCAGGGCCCACATGAAAATTATGAAGAGATGACAATTCTGAGACCCATGGGGGACGGGGGCCACAGGGGCTTGATGGGTCCGACGGGCTGTGGCACATGCCCCCAGTTCTTCAGAGCAAATCACACGTGGGTCCCAGGTCTTTTGTTTTTTTCCCCCCTTAGCGCCCTGACTCTAACTCAGAATGCTGCCAGCAGTCTGGCCACAGGGGCCCAGCAGTGTGCCAGCTCTCCTGCCACATACAGACGCTGACATTTAGGACAGACGTGGGTTCAACTCCCATAGAATTGCCTCCAGTTCATCATGATCTGCACCTTCACTGATCAGTTTCGGTATTGATCCACTGGTGTTCAGTGAAAAGTCTCCCCAACCCTGTCCTCCTTCGTCTCCGGAGGAACCAGCCTTGCGTACTTCTTGGTGGCCTTCCGGAGTCTGTGCACATATGAGGACTGGACCGGGCATTTTTATTCTCCTGCCCCTGACTTTTAGACAAATGGTACCATGTCATACCACGTCAGTACATAGTGATCACCTTGTTCTTTTTTTTAATGGCTATATAAGTATTCACTGAGCAGACGTAGCATAATGATGTACCTACCACTGTTTCTACAACATGTATCAACACTAATAATGACAATGTCAATAACAGACACAAGGGTAGCCATGTAGAGGTAGTGAGGTCCCCACCCTTTAAGCTGAGTCCTGGGGTTGGCAAGAAGGTAGGTACTCCCCAGAAAGACCCAGGCTGGCTCACCTGACACCCCTCCCACCAGGCCGGGTGCTGGAGTGGCGCTGGCTGGCTGTGCTGGGCTGTGTGCCCCCATCCTTCATGCTGCTGCTGATGTGCTTCATGCCCGAGACACCGCGCTTCTTGCTGACTCAGCACAGACGCCAGGAGGCCATGGCCGCTGTGCAGTTCCTGTGGGGCTCTGAGCAGGGCTGGGAAGAGCCACCTGCTGGGGCTGGGCACCAGGTGACGGGCCGGGCACCAGAGCTGAGGGAAGTGACAGTGAGGTATGGCCCCTTCACACCCAGGAGAGGCCGGCACACACTGTCTGTCTCACGCAGTGGGACAGGGCCCGGGTCAGTGTTGTCCTGCCGAAGCTTCACTGCTCAGCTGGGCCCTAGGCTTAGAGCTCACTGGGAAAGCCTCACCGCAACTGTAGGGTCCCACAAGGAGAAAGGCTGGGTGGGTCAGAGGGAAATGCAGGTGCAGACTTGAGGACCTAGACTGGGAAGTGGGGAGTCAGGCCAGGCACTGAAACGAGTCTGTGCCACTTACCTGCTGTGTGACCTCCTCCTTTAAGCCTTAGTCTCTTCCTCTGTAATAGGGGAGCATAGCAGTGCCTGGTTCCGGCGGGAAGGGTTCAGAGGGGCCAGGGCCTGTGTCAGGGAGTTCTGGAGCCCCTGGCGTTTGGCCCATGTAACTCTGCGGCTCCCCGACAAGTCAGGAAGGGGTGGCTAAAGTAAGGGGAGAGCTGTCTGTGAACCGAGGCCAGGCGGGACAAGGAGCCCAGGCTCACTGCACCAGGCCTCAGGACCGGGGGCTCAAAGCTGGGTGCCCCTCAGGTCAGAGCAGCACTGACACCCGCTGTCTATCTGCACAGGGCTTCCATCTGGCCCTGTTGAGGAATCCTGGTATTTACAAGCCCTTCATCATTGGCATTTCATTGATGGTCTTCCAGCAGCTGTCAGGAATCAACGCTGTCATGTTCTATGCAGAGACTATCTTTGAGGAAGCTAAGTTCAAGGTAAAGAGGTGTCTGCCCCAGTCTGCCCCATCCAGGCAGCACGTGGGTGGGACCTAGTCCTAGGGTCTTTGCCTGACCTGCCTCGGCCCGTCTCCCAGGACAGCAGCCTGGCCTCGGTCATCGTGGGCATCATCCAGGTGCTGTTCACGGCCATGGCGGCCCTCATCATGGACAGAGCTGGGCGGAGGCTGCTCCTGGTCTTGTCAGGTGAGGCCTGTGGGCAAGGGCTCAGCTATGTGCTAGCACAGTGGTCCAGGCCAAGCTCCCCAGGAAGGCTAGAGGGTCTTTGCTGAGGACACCCCATCGCGGGAGGAAGACAGCTGGGCAACCCCGAGAGCAAGCCTGAAATGTAACAGAGCGCTCCTGAGCGCGCTCCGGCCCAGGCTTGTACGCACAGCACTGCTGCAGCCCACCTTAACCCGGGCAGCGAACCTCCACAGAGACGCCAGCGCGGCCCCTGTTTGCAGTGAGGAAACTAGGGCTGGGGAGGTGGAGTGACTCAGAAACTGCTGTTTTGGGCAAATGACTTTACCTCCCTGAGCCATTTCCCCCTATGAAATGGGGGTACTAGCAGCCATCATGAGGGTCGATGGTCTGTGTCAGATGGGCCTGCTGGGGAGAACAGGTCCAGAGCACTGCTGCTCCCTGGCCAGGGAGGGGCTGCTTCCCGGAGCTGCTTGGAGTGCCAGCTGGGGCTGGCAGGGCTGCTGCCCAGTCAGGGCTCCCGGGCACTGCTTGCTGCCCCTGTTCAGAGGCCTCTGGCCACACTGCTGTGCCCACACTGCTGAGACCCTGCCACCGCTGCCCTCTGCCCACAGGTGTGGTCATGGTGTTCAGCACCAGCGCCTTTGGTGCCTACTTTAAGCTGACCCAGGGCGGCCCCAGCAACTCCTCGCACATGGAGCTCTTGGCGCCCATCTCAGTGGAACCTGCCAGTGCCAGTTTGGGGCTGGCCTGGTTGGCAGTGGGCAGCGTGTGCCTCTTCACTGCTGGTAAGAGGGGATCTGGGGGAGGGAGGGGGGCAATGGACACATGTCACCCTCAAATTCCTATGGCTCCCAGTACGTTCCTGCCCAGTCCGCCTCTCCATCACATGGGTCCCACCTGAGTGTTCGTGGCTCTGACCGCATGCCAGGCAGTCTTCGCCCTTCTCTGCCCCTTCCACTGAATCCCCACAGCCCTCTGAGGTAGCCCCATCATTATCCCATCCCACAGAGAAGAGGCCGGACTCAGAAGAAGTGAAGGCACTGGCCTGAGACCTCACAGTAGGCAGGTGCTGAGCTGCCGGGCCCAGACCAGAATCCAGGCCCCCTCACCCAGCAGCCCTGCACAGCTTCAGCCCAGGGGGTCTATAGAGAGCAAAGGGTCTGGGCTCCGTGGGCTCTGATGCCTGTTTCTCTCCTGCAGGCTTTGCTGTGGGCTGGGGGCCCATCCCCTGGCTCCTCATGTCTGAGATCTTCCCTCTGCACGTCAAGGGCATTGCCACTGGTGTCTGTGTCCTCACCAACTGGCTCATGGCCTTTCTGGTGACAAAAGAGTTCAGCAGCCTCATGGTGAGTACAAGCCCTGAGGGTCAGCAAAGAGCACTTTTTGGAATTACTCTCATTGCAGAGACTCAGGATCAGTGGCCTTGTGTGGGCGGAGGCCCCACCAACCTGGGACACTGCTCACCTTGGTCAGGGTCAAGGCGAGACAGGCCAAGGTGGGTGAGGCACCCAGGCTGTGACCACTTGGTAGCCTTCAGGCTGCCTGGGTGGAAGTACAGCAGGGCCGGCCTTCCCCACTGGGTGCTGGGGACACAGCCTGGGAAGTAGGGCTGTGTGGGAGGAGCCCTCCCGGGCTTTGGAGTCAGCAGGCCTGGGCTCCAGCTGCACCTCAGGCACTTGCCTGCCATGTTACCTTGCTGTGTTGCTCACCTCTGAACCAGCTTCCTTGGCTGAGTGGAGGAGGGTAACAGTACCTTCCTCTTAGGGTTGATGGGGATATGAGTTCAGTTCTGCATTTTGCCTTCTCTTGGATGGACTGACACATAACATGTGGTCCCTCCCACGCCAGTGCACAGGGGTAGGGGGAATGTTCAGGCCTGTTCATAAACCAGAGACAGCAATGAATGAGATGGACAGGGTCCCCTTTATGACAAGGGCTGGGACAGCAGTGGACAGTGGTGGGAGGATGAACCACCGGAGGTTGGTCCAGAGATGGGGGAGGCAAGTCAGGAGAGGCATGGATGAGAGGGCCGGCCTGGGGTCTGTGCAGGGCCTGGCCCCCCATTAGCACGTTGGGAGGACCAGGGCAGAGGCCTGCAGGTGGAAATACTGGGGGCCTTGGGGGGACAGACAGCAAAGGAGCGAGGAGGTGGTGACCCAGGGTACAGCGTCCAGGAGGCCAAGAAAAAGGCTTCAAGGAGGAAGGGAGAGTCACCACGTCCCAGAGAAAGGGGCTGAGAAGGGGGGGCTTTGATTCTGGCCCCTGGGAGGTCACTGGGCTGGGCTGCATGGGTGGACAGGCTCAGACCAGGGTCGCTGCTCACTCCTCCCTCCACGCCATGGGCCCTGCATGTCCCCGTGTGCTCACACCACCCCATCTCAGCCTGCTGGGGGCTCGGCATTCCTCCCAGCACAGAGAAGAGACTCCCCTGGGGGCAGGGACCTGAGGGCAGGTTCAAGGCTGAGCACAGAGGCTGGGGCTATGGGCCCTGTGGTCAGCCCTGGGGCACAAGTCCAGCTGCCACTTGATAGCAGGTCTCTGACCTGCAGGCGGTCATTGTGTCACAGTGAGCCTGAGTTTCCCCAGCCACACAACACCCACATGGGGACAGTGCTCGCCCAGGCTTCCAGGTGGCTTGCCACACCCTCCTCCACTGCCCTGGCCAGGCGCCCCCGACCTGCTGCATTACACATGGCCTCCCTTCTCTCTGCAGGACGTGCTCAGGCCCTATGGTGCCTTCTGGCTCGCCTCTGCCTTCTGCATCTTCAGTGTCCTTTTTACTTTGTCCTGCGTCCCTGAAACCAAAGGAAAGACTTTGGAGCAAATCACAGCCCATTTTGAGGGGCGGTGACAGTCCCTTCCCATGAGCGACTGACTCTCCTAGCTGGGACAGCTTTGGGCTGCAGAGGGGATGGAACCCACCTGTGACTCTGAGCTGGGCCCTGCCTACCCCCAGGGAGCTGGGAGCCAGGACCCAGGACGACAGCGCCTTTCAGCCTCATCCTCCAGGATTCCTCCTTCCTCCCCAGCTCCGCAGCCCCTCAGTCCCCTGGGCCAGCTCCCCCTGCTGCTCATTGCCTCTGGAAGAGGCGACATCTCTGAGGGGCCTCACTGCCCTGCTCCATGAGCCATCTCAATCTTGACTTGAAAGTGGTGGTGGAGGAGGGTGACTCGGCTCCTCGTTTTCTGGAGATGCCTTTGGAGGCAGGTGATGGCCTGTGGTTGCTCCTCTCATGTGGCTGTGTCATCAGGAAGGAACCTCGTTTGCCAAATAAAGATTTGACTCAGAAAATCAGGTCCCGCCTCTTCATGTGAGCCGCTGGCCCTTGGAGCAGGGCATTTCCCTACCTTTCTGTAAACAAGGCTTCCTGCTGGGCTTTGCCAAGAACATCTGTGGATTTACATTCTTGTGGGCAGCGGGGCTTTCCCCTGGCACTTGGAGGTCATTTCCGGCTCCTTGGGCTCAGTCCCTGGATCGTTAACCATCTAATCTCGTTGCACCCAAAAAAGCCTCTCTTTTTCTATTGACTTAATGGAACCAAAGTCTTTTACAAATTATGTAAGTAATATATGTTTATTCTAGGGAAATTGGAAAACATTTATTTAATATAATCTTTTATCAGTTAGCCTTCTGCTAGGGACTCTCCTAAGCACTTTACAAAAATTAACTAATTTATTTGGATAAATAATAATTCACAGCTGGACCTTTCCAGAGGTAACCTCTGGTAACAGTTTGGTTCTATCTTGAAAGATCTCCAAGCATACGTGCATTTAGCATCACTACAGAGAAGCAGGAGCCGTATTTCCCATTCTGTGACCTGCTTTCTTCATTTCCCGGGTGGTGCAGCCCAGTGCGTGCCCACCTTGGCATCTTCTTATAAGCCTCATAGTGAGACCGGGTAGTGGGGGGTGGAAGTGTGGTGTGGTTGAGGGTGAGCAATGGGGAGGGCAGGACTCCAGGTTCAGTTTCTAGAAGATCCTGCAGCAGCTGCTCTGACCCAGTGACATGTGCTAGTACACAGGACAGCTTTCAGCATTAGCAAAACCCAGACTCTCTGGGGAATTGCAGAAGTGGCTTTCCACGTGCTGGTGCATCTTTTATGTCAGTAACTGCGTATCTGCATTCTCATGCTGAGTGGCTCGTTGATCAAGGGCCTTGTTTTGTGGTTGCTGAGTGGAGTGTTCCACAAATGTCAATTAGGTTGTTGAATAGAGTGGTTCAGGTCTTCTGCATCCTTACTGACTTTCGGTTCACTTATTGTATTAGTTCTTAAGAAAGAGGTGTGGAAATCTCTCCACCTGCTAAAGTGGGTCTGTTTCTCCTGGCAGTTCTGTCAGGCTTTGCATCACACACCTTGGAGCTCTATGATGAGGTGTGTGCACATTTAGGATCATGACATTCTCCTGATTGTTTTGTCCTTTGTCATTATGAAATGATCTTTATCTTGGTAATATTCCCTATTCTGTGATCTACTTCGTCTGATATCAATATAACCACTTCAGCTTTCTTTTGATTGGTGCTTTGACAATCATTTAAGATTCTATCTTACTCTCTGTTCCTTTTTCATAGCATCCTATACCTTTCTTTTTGGTGGAAATGCCTTTCTGGGTTTCTCCAAGGATACGTATGTTCATTTTAAAAGATGAGCTTTATTAAGGCTTTATTTACTCCCCATGAAATTAAACAATTGTAGGTATAAAATTTGATGACTTACTTAGCTTAGCAGAGTGCTTTTTGGAGTCATCCACATTCCATGTTGAGTTCATTTCTTTTTATCGGTGAGTAGCAGCCTGTTAGACATTTGGGCTGGTTCCGTTCGGGGCTATTAGGAATAAAGCTGTTATAAACATTTGCATACAAGCCTTTGCGCAGAGTGGAATTGCTGGTCACGTGGCCAGTTTATGTTTAACTCTTTTAGGAAACTGCCAGACTGTTTTCCAGAGTGGTTGCACCATTTTGCATTCCCACCAGCATCGCACAGGAGTTCCAGTTGCTTCACATCCTCAACACTCACTGTTCACCACTCTGAATAAAACTATATAATTTAACTTTTTGAAAGTTTTCTGTTCTCTGATCTCCTTGGGAATCAGTTGATCAGGTTATCTTAGTCATTCTTTTGTATGCTGACTCAGTTTTGTTATGGATTTGTTCCCTTCTACACATCTTCACCGTCATTTCAGTAGGAGAAGAAGGTGAATGTGTTAACTTCAATCCACCAGCTCAAAATGGAAGCTTTCTTCATTCTTTTAATGTAGTATTTCTTTACCTTTGGAGTCATGGTGTATGGCAAAGAGTAGATGGTCATATATTTGTTAACTCAACAAATTAAGGCTATCTCATTGTATAAAACATCAGAACTTAAATCAACCTCACATTGTTCCACATTCAGATTCTTTCCTGTTTTCTGCTTATTGATAATCCTGCTATTACATAGATATAGATTTATAGAGAGATGACAGTGAAAATAGAGAAGACACAGAGATGAAATAGAAGAGAGATGACAGAATAGAGAATGAGATGAGAAAGATGGTTAAATTTGTGGGCAAGGAAAACATCATCGTGGCTTCAACCCTACTTTGGCCTCTTTCCTCTGTAATCCGGGAACCAGGAGCCAGTGCAGCATGGTGGGTAAGAGCCCGTGGGCTGAGTTCAAATTCTAGTTGTACTACTTACTCACAGCCTGTGTGACCTGGACAAGTCACTTAACCTCTGTAAGCCTCAGTTTACTGACCTGTAAAATCGGGCATACTGATGCTTCCCCCTCATGGGGGAGGACAAAAGGATCATTACAGGAAGCACTTAGAACAGAGGATGTCACAGGATGAGGGCTCCACTGGTGTCAGCTGCTTCTGCTAGTGGCAATTCTGAGCCTGTGCCAGAGAGGTGGAGGCCAAGGAGAGGGCTGGGAGCTACAGGCGAGACTGGTGTGAGGCTCAAGGGGTGCCTCATGAAAGGACATCTGGAATCTTTGCAGTTTCTCTTTATTTTGTATTTCCTACCCTGCTTCCTCAACAACTCCTACCTATACCGCCTCTGATTGCTACTAGCACCCAGTCATGGACTGACAGTGGACACACATGCTCTTTAGACTCCCTTGGGGCCTTCCCATCAGAGCACAATGTGCTTCAGGGACCAAGAGCCAACCCCAGCTGACAGCCTATATCTGCCCCAGGAGTCCAGCCCAGCGCTGTCAGGCACAGGACCATGGAGAAGAGGGGCAGATGGAACATCCCCAGGGGACAGGTGCAGCAGAAGCTGCGCTTTATCCATCCCCAGGCAGAGATCTGCTCTGCTCAGGCTTCCAAGTGGAAGCCCAGCTCTCATTCCCGCTCTCATATCTTCTTGGAGAATCCTGGCTTCTGTGAAACTGAGGCAAGTGGCCAGTGGCCATAGGTGGAATTGCACCAGCTGAAGGGTGAAGCAATCTGCTGCCTCCCAGTGTCCACTATGGGGTGAGCACCGGCTGCTGAATATAATTGGTTGCTATGGCCATCACTAAGCAAAGTCTCTTCTGTAGCAAGTAGCTGGTGTTTGGGCTGAGTCCTTGGCTTATTTGCAGTTTGGCCCAGTTCAAAAGTTTTTGGTACCAATGGGTGAGGACATGCACAAGGTCTATCTACCTTAATGGCCTCCAAGCTCCATTTAAAACCCCTTGGCATTAGTGACTCCATTTTATTTCACCTTTCACAAAACATCCCTGGCCACAACACAGAGGTCTCTAAGGGACAGACCATTCTGTAATCTCTTCCCACAGTTGTGCTGATGGAACACTAATAAAGTATGCTTCCGCCCCTAAAATTACTGAAGAAGTTCCCTCCTGATAGATTTTTTATGCTTTGAGAGTTCCAGGCCACCAATCCATGGCTGTCCTGTTCATGCTGTAAAAATGAGTAAAAGAAATCTCACTTAAAATGGAGTCAGAAAGCCCTAAAGGGGTAATTCTCACACGTGTGCCACACATTGCAGCCTGCATTAACCAGCAGGAAGAAGGAAAGTCATTGCTATCTTGACAAGGGAGGACACTCCTCTCCTAGGAATTTAAACTCCTGCTTTAAGGAAAGGAAGATCTCTCCCTGCCCCAGCAACTACGCACTACCGCTTGCAACCAATGAGAAACCTTCGCAACTTCACACTCCTGTTCTGCAGAAAGAACAAGACAGCCCCTCCTCAAATTTCCTCCTAAATCCTAATAAAGGCTGACCTTCCCTTTGTCTCTTTGTACTTACCTTTGGTGTGCCATAGTTTGCTTGTCCCAAATTGCAGTTACTCAGCTATTGCCAAATAAACTCATTTTGCTGGTAAAGTAACATTTTTGAGGTTANGGGAGGACACTCCTCTCCTAGGAATTTAAACTCCTGCTTTAAGGAAAGGAAGATCTCTCCCTGCCCCAGCAACTACGCACTACCGCTTGCAACCAATGAGAAACCTTCGCAACTTCACACTCCTGTTCTGCAGAAAGAACAAGACAGCCCCTCCTCAAATTTCCTCCTAAATCCTAATAAAGGCTGACCTTCCCTTTGTCTCTTTGTACTTACCTTTGGTGTGCCATAGTTTGCTTGTCCCAAATTGCAGTTACTCAGCTATTGCCAAATAAACTCATTTTGCTGGTAAAGTAACATTTTTGAGGTTAATAACATTGAGGGGGGCCTTCATTTCCTTTACTCTTTTCAAACTTTCGGTTCTGCTCAAGAGAACAGCCAAGGTTTCTGGGGTTGGACCCTGAGCTTAAGGCTCGTGTGAGAAGAGGCCCTTCTCAGCGCAATGTCTGGGCACGCCAAACCCTCCAAGGAGCAATCAGGCTTCCAGAGCCTGTGCTGGACCCCGCGCGCCCGAGGGCCTCCGGGACCAAAAAGCTTCCTTCCAGGCACACAGGTTCCCACCCAGAGATTCCGGTGGGCGTGTGAGGCATGTGCAACAAAGCATGATGGGAAAGAGATCCTGGGAGCAAGAACAAGCGAAAGCCTCTCTGGGAAGTGCGTTAAACCAGGACAAGCAGGTCACAGACCTGGATCCGAACGACAACCACCTTTGGCTGAGCGGAGCCCGGAGCCTTCTGGGAAATGTAGTCCGGCGGGGCGGGGTGGCATGTGCGCGTGACCGGAAGTGGCGCCTTCAGGCGAGTCCCTTTTGGCGCGAGAGCCGGGCCTGGCGTCTGGTTGTACCGGATAACCGCCGTTGCCCAGCTCGCGTTGTTGGCGGGTTCCTTTCTCGGGTAGCCAGCAGCTGCATTTTCACGCGGCGTTCTTCTTGAGACCGAGCGGAGGCCTGGCTGTGCCTGGGGAGATAGTGAGAGACCCGGCTGGAGAGGCCCGACCGGAGCTCCCAGGGCTCCGCACCGCAGGCTCAGACCCGGCCTGAGGGGCGAGGCTGGAGAGAAGGGCCAGCCCGGGAGCAGTCAGCGCAGGCCGGCAGAGCGGGGCCGCCGCCGCAGGGAAGCGCCGCTGACGCTCAAACGGCTGGGAGGCGGTGGCGCGAGGTGGGACCCAAATGCTGGAGGAAGGAGGTGAGGACAGGTGGAGGGAGCGGTTTGCAGGAGGTCCTGCTGCT